TGTCTGGTAGTCATCTGGGGGATTCTATATTACTTGTTTAGGAAATCTTACTTGAGCAGGCAGTTTACTGTATCGGAACTGGTGGACTCCATACGTGGCAGTAGGCTAGTAAGTAAGTTGGTCCAAGTATGATGAAAATCACGGCGCCCAGTGTGACCTCCTACCTCGCTCGGTTAGATTGTTTAATGTATTAAAGCCTTTGTCTTGCTGTCACGATCTCTAATATCACAAAGACTGCCGAGTTCTTCACAACGGGATCTAAGGAAATAAAGTTCTCTTTCCTGTCTTTGTGGCCATATAATTGCAACGAGGAACATACCCGAACAACCCAATTCCTTATTTTGAGCCCATAAGATCAGTCATTTGAAGGAGCCAGGTTGCCTCTTCGAGGTCATCTCTCGACACAGAACGCTTTTGCAATTAAACCTTCCAACAAACCCACTACAGCAAGGTGCAGTCACATCTCTGAAAAGAAGTGTACTGTTAAAAGCTAAACTTCTTCAGACAACGACCTTTCCAAGGAACTACTTTTCACTACGCAGAAAGTGATTGGGCAGCATAACAGGGTCACCTTACATCCCATTTACCTTTTCTATGGACGTCTGCACGATATTTTTAAGCTCCGCCCCGATAATTGCTAGCTTGATGAGCGTTGATGAGTTAAGCGTGGAGGCGGAAAAGGCTTCTGCAAATGCTGTCCTTGGGTCCTTTATCTGCTGCCTCTTCCTCGCCGCTATATACTTGTCTTCTTCATCACTTATGTCTCCGTAGTCGGAAAAGAGGGGTTCGTTGGAGAAAAAGTTGTAGGGTTTTTCCTCTGGCTTGGCGACGACGACTGCTGCTGCTGCCTGTCGTTCCTTCTCCCGATGGTACCCCGACACCGCGGCGCCCTCGGGATCGGGCCGCATTCCAAGTCGGTCAAAGTCATAGAGACTGTTGCACATGATATTCCTTGACGGTGGGTAGCAGTGCGGACAGTCACAAGGTGGGGGCTGTGTGGGACGCACTGGGCGAGGATTTCGGTGCTGCCTAGGGCGGCGATGTCTCC